CGGGTTCGCTTCCCTGCTCCTCCACATGCAGCTGCTGGGTGACCTTGGGCCAGTCACACTTCTTTGAAGTCTCTCAGCCCCACTCACCTCACAGAGTGTTTGTTGTGGGGGAGGAAGGGAAAGGAGAATGTTAGCCGCTTTGAGACTCCTTAAAGGGAGTGAAAGGCGGGATATCAAATCCAAACTCTTCTTCTTCTTCTTCTAAACAAATGCAAATAGTCTTTTAAAAAAATCAGACTTCAGCTCCAGGTTCTGCCTGAGCACATGGTATCTTGTTTCACAGGACTGAAGAGCACTGACATCACTCAGGAGGGAATGAAGTAGCTACACGAGAAGAGGGGCTGCTATCTCCTGAGGGCTCAGTGCCACCAGCAACACCTTGTCCCCTTCCACTCCCTTGGCTGGCATTCAGATTTGATTGGCTATACTCCCCTCCTATCAGCTCCCATTAGGGATTCCGCTGCTTGCCTATTGGGTGAAATTAACAGACCTAACTTAGTGATGTTCATTAATTTTAATGTATCTACTCTAAGTAAAAGTGAGTTGACTCTAGACTGAAGGGAAGGCTGAAGACTGAAGCTTTGAAAATTCTCACCAAGCGAAGCTTTTCTCCATGTTTCCTCACAGTAGAACTGGAAGTCAATTATGCAGTGGCACAAAAAGAAGTCTGCCGCATTTTGCTGTCATTGTGGGTAATTTGTCCCTTAGGGTGTTAGCATTCATACATAATTGCACATTGTCTTCCTCTCCAACATTTCCTACTTTCTTTCTCTGTTCGAACAACATAAGAATGATTGCAGCCACGGGTTTTAGCAAATTATCCAGCTAACTCGATTTACATTTTATTCACAAACAGAAATATAGTGGGGACACAGTTTTGTGTGTAATTCCTCACCCCCCCCCTTCCCCGCTATCACATTTGGCCCTAAGATACTATAGTTTGTTCATGCATTTCTTTGCTCTTTGGTACAAACAGAAATAAAGATGCACGACAATCCAAGCAATATTTTTTGCTGCATGATCCACAAAACTGGTATCATGCTTCCCTAAAACTAAACATGCGTGTGACAGAAGCACCAGCAATAATAAATTTAAAGTAATAATGGAGGAAGCCTATCAAAACAAAGCTGTCTTAATAGCCCAATGAAAAGCACGTGGTGATAGATCCAGAACAGGACAAACTGTCTAGAGAAGGTGTTCCAGATACTGGGCAACAAAACAGAAAACTTTATATTTTGTGTTCACCTGTTGGCCAGATGGCCTGAACCAGATGGCCTGAGAGTCTCCAAAGTGAAACATATTGTTCTGGCAAGCTCACATAATAGGTGACAGGTAGATATTTTTTTTTATTATCATTCATTCATTATATTTATGAGACATCTCATAAAATAAATTTTCTGGGCATCATATAGGATAAAAAGCAAAATAAAATGTAGCAATAAGACCATACTATAATAAAACCACAATAAACTTAGGAGGCCAACTGTGTAAAAACCTAGAACTACAAAAACAACACAATAAAGTAGCATGTGCAGCAAAGAACTAAGCGCCCCTACAGACTAGCTTTTTTTTTGCAGGCATCTTCCGCAACATGTTACTGATGCAATAATAGTGCACTGGAGTGGATTTATACTAGATCGTCCACACATCATTCGGCTTTATTTGTTGCTCTGCAATGTTTTCCCCATGGTATATCATTATTGTCATTTGAAGGAGTACAGCAACCTCTAGAGGGCACCAGATTGAGGGACACCCAGGAGAGCCTTAGGAGGCTTACAATCTGGGATTGAAACCAATGGGTTGGATCCAAAGTAAGTTAACTGAATTGAGGCAAGTTAAACATGACTTTCCTGAAGTTCAGCTAACTTAGCCTGGATCCAGCCCAATAACTCTACCCTGTTTTCTCCCCCATCTCCAGCACCTCCTATGCAGTAGTATTTTCCATCAGAACATAAGGGTTCCTTAACTCCATTTCCTTATGTCCCACGACATTCTTAACATGCTTAGCACTGTTATTATATCCTGTCCCCTCCATATATAAAAACAGTCCAGCCATACACCTCCCACCTAATCTTGCAGTTTCCAATTACAATATATTCTGCATTAGGCTTACCATCACTCAGGAGAAGAATAGTTTCTGTTCTTGCTTGCGTGCACCACACTTTCTGCTTCCCTAGAGTCTACCCTCTTCATAGTTCTCCACTCACACCATAATTCTCCCATCTCTTTCCCAAATAAGATTTGGTCCAAACATATATATACATGATAATAAATATTGTTTGATGGGTGAACAGCATCGCAAAATTCGGACCTGTACAAATTTCAAAGCATATCTGCCTTTCATTTTGCAAATTGTTCTGAAAAGTGCAAATTGATAGATTTGGCTTCTTATGAAACCTGAATTGAATTGTTCCCTACAATAAGAGTCTTTTAGCTAGTGGAGGATTCTACTGATGGAAGAGGAGAGAAAACAACTCTCACTCAACTAGTGCCAAAACGTGTGAGATCAGCTTGTCCCAAAAATATATCCTCTTTCACCAATGAAATTAAAGGGTAATTTGCAGGGCTTTTATATCACCTCAAAAATCTGGCACTCCTCCTATGGACTGTCAGGATGTGCATGGCCCTCTCCTTAACAGAAAGCAGAAATTCAAATTCCCTTATAATTTGTATGAATAATTTGTATGAGCTTTTTAAGACCACATGCTGATGATTGATCTAAATAAAGCAGCCATCAGATAGTCTTCACGGAGGCGTCTTCAAATACGGCCCAGTGGTATTTAAACCCCTCTGGCATTTCAATGACCTTTTAGAAGGCATAGTGACTAATTTATTTCACGATTGTCTTATTGTATCCAAGAGAAAAAATGTTAACCAAAAGGCAGGTGTCCTGATCCAAGTCACATATTACGTTTCAAAACACATTAAGTGGATGCTAATTTCAGCTATTTGCATGAGAATCTCTCTCTCTCTCTCTCTCTCTCTCTCTCTCTCTCTCTCTCTCTCTCTGTGGTTGCTATCACTCCTATCATAGTATCAATGTCAGCTCAATTTTCTGAGCAGCAGCAACTCAAACATTGACCTGCTGCCTATTACAGTAGTGTCATGAAGTGCAATGGACGAGTACTTATAGTACATTACCCTGTATCAAGTAACATGCAGCCCTCTGTTATCACAAAGGAATGCCGGTTCTTGCTCAAAATGAGGAGTCTGGCCATAAAGTTGATTTAAGGGAGTCATTAAAAATTACTTTCTGAGAATGAAAAAAAAAAGTTCTATTTATTCCCAAGAGAGCATCTCACGTTGCCATTGCAAACATCTCGTTACTGTTGTAGAAAGGAACTGGTTCTAAACAAGTAAATGATGAGCTGCATAAAAGGAGTCAGCTATCAGTGGGACACAGGGATATTTGAAAAATGGTGGGATTTCAGTCAAATGATTTAAGTGGGTCCTGCCTAGCACCATGGAGGTTACAACACATCTACTTGGTCAGGAAACACTACACTTTCTTTTATTTCTGTTTATAAACTACTGTTGATTGAAAACTGGAATATGAAAATCTCGCTGACCCTGTGACCGTACACATTTTGAATGCTATCTGCATGGCTCCTAGCAGCTCAAAGTAAGGGGTGACATCCTCTTACCAGTTAACAGTGTACCATGCCACAGCCTGGCAAAGTGAGCTCCTCAACATTCATCTTTGTTGTGGCATCCATTAAGCCAGGGCCCACAGGAACAAGCTATTCCTGCTATAAGACCCAGGAGAAACACTGCACACAGTGGGACTTGGACCATTTGCTGCTTTTTGCAGAGACACTGAAGTGAGGAAATGGGACAGGGCTGGGAAGCAGCAAATATATACACAGGCACATTTAAAAAGTAGGTAGCAAAGGATAGTGGTGGGAAAGAAGAAAAAGTGCCCTAGCCTAGAGTATTTCTTCCCCTTGCGCATCAACACTTCTGCACTTTCCTACAAGATAATCACATTTACCACAGAGACATTATTCCCTGTGCTTGGGTTACACTCAAGATTGCCTTCAACCTTTTACAGGGTTGTACTGTTGCCTGAGGCAACTCAACAGACATGAACTTTCTGAGGTGAATTGTTTCTTTAGATCAGACACAGGAATCTCCAGTCCATGAACCAGTCTTGGCCTGCCAACCTTCCGTATTTGGCCCTTGTGGCCATTTTGGGCAAACCACAGGAAAGCTGGCAGAAACTTCTTCAAAGTTCACAAAATGAAAAGGCAAAACTTTTAATACAATAAAGTATTATTAACCTATCGTCCCTTTTCTTGGAGAGGACCTTAACTGAAGTTTAGAAAAAAATAGAGAAACTCTAACATCTTGCGTGCCACACTTCTGGTTCTTTTACTCACGTGTAAAATGCCATTTTGAAAAACTGTTGCCAGATAATGAAACTTGGGAAAAATTCATTAAAATTATATGGAACATGTTAACTATATATGAAAATGAAAAATGGGTCTGCAGGTTGACATTTTCATGGAATTACCCAGCAATTCATTTGGCAAGTAATTATGTATAGCCAATTTGAAGGGAGAAAAAAACCAATCTGTTTGTAAGCAGCTTGTGAGAGGAAAAGAACACATCTATATTAATCTTCCTTAATATACAGGTTTCTTCTTTTCTTTCCAGCATTATTTTAAGAACCTAAAGTATAAAAGAAACAAGGTGTTCCCTTGCTGAAAGTTTATATTAGACTGCGGAATTTTCAATGAGTATTCCTAACAAAGTTTTTCCTATACACTGTCTGTAAGTTTATTGTCAAGAAGATACACATCCTCTTTTGTGTAAATTACAAAAAAAGTGTTTTTATGGTGTGAATTGTACAAAATTTGGTGGTTTCGTGTGTACAGTTGTGTACAAACTTAATAACATAAGAGGCTGAATCAGAATTTTGGTCCATCTAGCTTTGCATTGTCAACACTAACTGGAAGCAGGTTCCCACGTTTCAGACCACAATCTCTCCCAGGCTTACCTGGAAATGCCAGGAACTGAACCTGGGAGCTTCTGCATATAAAGCAGTTGCTCTACCACTGAGCCACAACTCTTCCCACAGCTAATTAGTTCTTGAACTGAAATAGGGATTTCCTTCTCAGCAACAAAATGTCAAAAAAATAGCTATTCTAGACACCCTTGTTCTTTCTCCAAGACATACACAGAAAGTGCCATATACATCCAGAAAATACAAGCCTTTTGACTAAAGGGTGTTATGCAGCCAAACATCTGAAGGCACTTGCCTGCAGCATCCACACATTTCTGAAGACAAAAGATCATGGTCAGAAGAAATTACAATGACCAAAGCTAATCAGAGTTTCTAACGTGCTGAAAAGCATGTGTCCATCTGTGTTTATGCTTAATAAGCTATTTATGAAGTTAGCAGATCGCATATTCTCATAATTATATTCTATTTGTTGGGTCAGTAAAATAATGCCCATTTGGCAGCTCTAGATGGAATTTGGAAATCATACATTTTCAAAGCCATGCAAACAAGAGTGATGAAGCACTATTGGACTTATTACTGATGCCCCAAGCCCAGCAGTGATGCCACAGACATACCACTAATCACGAGTGCACCTTAAACCATGACTTTAATTCTAAAATGATCCATTATAAATGTTGGTAGGATTAAACCAAGAAATGTTGATATCACGCTGTGGAAAATGGGTGTGCCATCCCTTGAAAAGTGCCCACACAAACTCCTTGTCCTTGTTTGCTTTGCATTAATTTTTAACATGGATTCTTTCTCTTTCTCTCTCATGCTTGCCAATAGAGTCTGTGTTCCTTGGGTTTGGGGATTAGGATCTGGTGTGTGTTTGTTCAGATTCTGAGTAAAATTATACTGTGTTTGCTTGGAACACACTTGATTGTTTTTTCTTCTGATCATGGTCGTGCTTCTGCTCAGAACAAAAGGAGAAGTTTTGTGTTACTCTACTTCCATATGTGAAAGTAGGCTAGTGTGTCCAAAGGACTTCATGGGCCTTTCAAAATATTTCATATTGTATGGCAATACCATTCGTGTGTGGCTCAAAGTGACTCAGGATGAAAGATCAAAGTCCCAAATGAAGGGTTCTGTTTAAGCCAGGCTGTAATGCAAAAGGTTTAATATTGTGGGGTCCAAGTCTGATTTCTTCAATAATGGCCTTACTGCTCACTTTTTAAGACATCATTGACTACATCTTTCAACAGTAAAACATTCACTACTTCCAGATAGTGCAAGTCCAGCCCTGACAGGTTTCACAAGCCAAGAAGGGCAAGGATCAAAATAGCAAGCAGAAGATCCTTCTCAGACCTCCAGTTTGTCCATGTTCTCAGTTTGGTGCTGCCTCAGATAATCTGTTAGATATGTCTGGGTGACATTTACACCTTCCCCTTCACTCACACAAGCCAGTTGGGCATGGTCTTCTTAGATCAATACCTTTCCATTATCCGGTCTGGTCTTAACCAGCAGCACCTCCAGGCTAGAAAGGATTGCAGATAAGTTCCTAATAATGCCAAGGCAGGAAGGTGGAGCAAAAAGGGGGGAATAGCAAAAATCTATCTCACCTTCCGCTTAAGTGATAACTCCACCTCCACCTCCTACCACCATAATTATGCCCACTGCAAATATCCCTCCAAAATACATGCTAACTGCAAGACAAGACAAGCCCTATGTAATAAAGAGCTATCTCCCCCACATGAATTGAGATAATGAGAGTTCAGTGAGGATAGGTAATCACACCAATGATTTGATCACCAAAGCAATTAATCAATAATCCAACACATGTGGACTGTATAATCAAGCAGACAAGGAAAAAATGCATCAAAGTAACTCGTTATATATGTTGTGTGTGCATGTTTAGTTAAATGAGGCATGAATGGGAATTTAGGCAGAGCAGAGTATGTTCACATTTTATCATCTGATATCAATTTATGTGTGATCCCAGCAGCAACCCTAGACACACTTACCTGAAAACAATGAGACTTACTCAAGACAGGAATAGAATCTTTGTAGGGTCATCACCAGGAAAACATATTTCTATCGCTTTCTTTGGGCAATGTTTTCCGTCGCATTTTGGGAAACGACGCCTGCTGAACTATCATGCTCACACCATCTGCTCATCATCATAAATATAAATGAAGTGATAATGAAAATCTTCCAAGGAACTATCAAGATGATTACACTTCAACTCCAATTACTTAATTTGGATCCTCTGTAATCTACAAACAAACAAACAGAATGGAAAACCCTTACTTTGAATCTCTGTAAGTGTTATTGGAACTGCATATGGCTGTTGAATATCAGCTGCTTGGGAAGGAAATATATACAACAATGTAGTAGCTCTTAATGACTTAGACTTTTGGTTATAAAAAGAAGCGCTAAGATGAGAAATACTATATAGGAAAGAAAGAAAGAAAGAAAGAAAGAAAGAAAGAAAGAAAGAAAGAAAGAAAAGGTCACCATCTATGATATGCCTATCTATCAGAGGGTCTACCCAAGCTAAGCTGCTCATCAGTATTCTACTCCTAATACTTTCCCCTGAGCAGTTAGAATGCTTTTCAATATACCAGGGTATCATAGCAGTTTAGCAATTGGGAGCAAAAGCTTACCAGCAATAGAACATGAAACATTTTCACAGAGGGCAAAGAACAAGGCAACCACTTAATTGCATTCACAATAAATCTATGCCGATCAAAAACAAAACAAAAGAGACACACCACCACTACAAATACAAAACTAGACTGCACTCCTAAATACCTCGAGATGAGCACCATTGGGCTGAATGCAGCATACTTCTAAGTGGAAAAAAATATGGTTGCACTGAAAGTGAATTACCGTTCCATCCATAAATAGTCTGTCTCTCTCTCTCTCTCTCTCTCTCTCTCTCTCACACACACACACACACACACACTTTGGTAACATGGAAGTACTTCATGGAAGTACATGAAAGCATGGAAGTACTGCAGCTAAAAAGTGGTCTATAAATGATGTTAATAAATTAACAGAATACTCTCAATGAATGTATTTAGGAATATGGTATTAGATTCACATTTGCGCTATAGATAGGAGAGAGAAGGGATGTTTTTGATTCCCTACTGCTTCTATCTCATTATCACTCTGCTTAGGATAACACTTCTTTATAAATGGTGAGAGCACTTCTGTTTTCAAGAGTATTTTAATGCAGACAGAGTACAGCAAGTGTGGCTGTTAAAAGCCATTTAATTCAACTTATTTACATTATATTCTCCAACAATAATAAGGAACGTATTGCCCCCTGCACAGAGCAAAAGAGATCTCAACGGGAAGACAAAGCCATTAGGGATTTTCTTTTGTGCTAAGACTTCTGGAGATAAAGGGTGCCAAGGGGTCAAGAATTGTGCCACAGTTTAGAGATTCCCACCCAAGAACAAGTCATTGAAGCTATTTCATGCTCCTTCACCTCCTTCCAATTTTTTCAGTCCTCCAGGCATTCATACCTTGCAGCTGTTTCCCACAGCAACAGACATGTCCCTATTTTCCAGCATCTCCCAATGGAATCTTTCAGTGAAGTCTCTAAGATCTGGCCCACACCTGCATTAGGATAAAGTGACAGAATGCTGGGATGCTAGAATGGATTCCACAACTGCCCATGACCTGGTCTGAGCGCATATGATGTCATTACCTTGCTAAAGCTAAACAGATCTGGCCTGGTCAAAGTCTGAGCACTTCATGTTAGCCACCTTGGGTTCCATGATGGAAGAAAGCTGGGGTATAAATGTCCTTGATAAAGAAATAAACTTCAGCCTGCAGATTGAGAATATCACCTTCGAATTTTCTCCTGTGTTAAAATTATCTCCTCCGCAAATATAAAACCATTGCAGCAGGCAAAGGACAGCGACTCTTCTGGCCTAATGTACATTTTTTAAAAACAAAGAAATTCATTTGTTCTTTTACATGGCAGACATTTAAAAGTGTGGTCAAGCCAAAGATTTGAGTTTTAAAATATTTGATTTGAATTTTTTGAGCCAAAAATGGCCACTTTTTCTCCCAGAATACCTTGAATGAAGCAACTTCCAGAGCATTTCAAAATAATAAGATGGTGGCTGTTAGGAGACAAGAGCAAAGCAGGTGTAGTTGGCAGGAAAAAGAAGACAAGAAGAAAAGTGAATGTGAGTAATGCAAAAAAGGGGCATCTTAATGAATAAGTAATAAAACAAATATGATTTTAAAGCATGGAAAACAATATGAAGTTTTCCAAAAAAAAGAACAATACCGATATGAAGTTTTCAGTCATGAAAATGAATGAAATCCTGAAACTTCTCATCCCCTGCAGACCCCAACTGAACTGAACAATTAGGAATATTCCTCCATCTGGCCTCAACAGAACAGAATGAGCCTGTTCTGCAAGGCCGGAATCAGTGAGATTTTGGACTTTTCTCATTCTGAAATCTCTTAGCCTTTCGGAAAGCAATTCACTCTTCACATCTATCCTCAACAAACTCATGGTGCATCACTCCAAAATATTGTGGCTGATTCTAACAGTGGTTACAAATACCTATTGTCCAAACCCCAAATACAGACCACATTTATTATTATTTTGCTTCATCAAACAATGAAAGTGACAAGTATCTGGAAATGTAGTCTAGTATTGCAACTTTTTAATATTGCGTGCTGCTCTTTTTTTCCATTTTTATTTTTTTTTAGCTGAAAGGCTAATTTCACCCAAACCTCCTCTTTAAATTATTAATCTTGCTGCACGCATAAATTCAGAGGGGAAAACTTCAAAAGTTCCCACGTCGTCTATGCAGATCACAACCATAGAAGGTTTCTTTTTAACATGCTATCAGAAAGTTGGATTAAGATTCACTCCTTTGATATGCTACTGATTATTTTTTTATTTATATAAAAAAAGAAATTCCTGTTTCCTGCAATTAACTATTTTTTGAAGAGCAACAGGCCTAGAGAAATCACATATCTGTGGTGACTCCTTTCAAAGAAAACAATTAGCATCCATATCAAAAAGCTAATTCAGAGAAATTAAAGAACACATACATCAGTAAAATATAATATTTCCTTTTTAGCGCATGTCACTGA